AGCATTGATCTCTCAATTTTTCGAGAGCTTTGAATTCTCAAAGTATTGAATTCTTAAAACTCCGAGCTTTCTCAGAGCATTGAACTCTCTGAAATTTTCGAGAGCTTTGAATCCTCAAATTTTCAAGAATTTTTAAAATTTCAAATTTATAAAGCTTTGAATTTTTTAGTATCGAATTTTCAAAGTTTAGAATATTAAAGAGTCGCTCCTAATATAACAAAACTTCAAATATTCAATCAAATTTAAAAAATTGGAACGAGCTTATTATACTAACGTAATGATACAATAAATATTTTCTTCCAAATTATTTTTTTTTCTTTTCTAATTTTTATCTCCTTTTCACAATTTCTTAACTATTATATAAACAATTTACTATATACAATACACTACACTTACTCTTATTATAAAATTTCTTATCATTGATGATCATATCGTATCATGATGAACAAAAAGAATCATTATTCGCGTTGTAACAACGACATGTGTGCTACATTAGACTAGTTTCTAGATAAATGAAATAAAATAAAATAAAAAGGACGAAAAAAACAGCGAGCGAGCCGAAGGACTGACTGTTAGTTAAGCATAGCGCGACAACCTTAATTATCAGCTTCAGTTACGTATATATTATCGTAAAAAAAAAAAAAAAAAAATGCTGTCTAAGAAAAAAAAGAAAGAAAAAAAAATGGAGTAACAGGTTTATATAGGGGACAAGTATTTCCGTGAATTATATGTATACACATTGTACGTCGTATTTATATATATACACACATACACGGTATAACGCGCAACTTCCTTTTTCTAGTACGTTTTATTAAAAACTACACACCGTTCTGATTGTTATCGAGTGCTAAACCATTTTGTATTTTCATTGTAAATATAAAAAATAAATAGAAAAAAAAAGAAAAAAGAAACAAAAGAATACACGACGATTTGTAATCGATATGCGCATTGGCGCGTGTAATCGCAAGTAGAAGGATCTACTATCCTCTACTGCTCAGCGTATTTTGATATGATTTCGACTTTACCGCGTCGAAATAATATGTCGACTAGAAATAAATTTAAGAACGAGGAAAAAGAGATTCTTAGTCGCCAATTAATCGTAAGATCTTAGAATTTTTAATTGTAAAATTTCGTGTATAATAGCTTTTCTTCTCTTCGAAACTTGATCAAGTTGTTCTACCTCCATTATCACCAGTCTAATGACGATAATTGATTTTTTCGTTTCTATCTCTATATTCATTCGATTCGATTTTTCGATTTTTCTATCCCAAATTGATTTAATAAAGATTGTTAAATCTTATTCTTTAAATGATACTAAACACTGAACGTGTACGAGGAGTTTGGAATATTTTTTCCAAACAAAATGTGCAAATTATTTTCCAATAATAACGTTAATCCCTGAATTATTTTTTATTATACTTTTCTTATTGTTATAAGAAATCAGTTCACAGAATCTGTAAATTTTTATTATTAATTCTTTTTGAAATTTTCAAATTTCTAAATATAATGTTTGTACGCACAATTTGATCATTCATTAGCTGGATTATTTTATCTCATTTTTGAACAACCTATGGTTATGCTCAAACTTTGCCCCGGCTTAGAATTTGGGCTGGGATTATACCTCTATGTTTGTACTTGTTGTATTATTTTTATCGCGAGAGAGCAAACTCTTTGAGCGGATTTCTTCGCGTGTCGATAAGCATGTTAGAATCATTTTCTAGCCGTGTATCGAGTTTTTTATCGTCGAACTACCCCTGCGTAGTTTTGTACAAGGACCAATTCGTTCATAGACCAAAAAACCTGTAACCTCGTAATCGTTATGCATTATATCAGTTGTGGAGAAATTTATGGCTTAGAATAAAAATTCGAATGTCTTTTCTACCTCTATACATTTTATATATTTATCATGTACAGTTTTTCCTTTCTTCCAAGGAAAAATCAATATTTAATTCTTCTAATTTCCGTTCAAAGTTTCGAATTTTTAGAACTTTCGGTATTCAATGAAGGATTCTCGATGCTTCAAAATTCTTAGATTCAAAATTAAATTATTAATAATTTATAATTTATATATTAATATATAATTTATATATTAATAATAATTATTATAAATAAATTAACTCGAACCTTTAAAAAAATAAAATTGCGATAAATCGTGGTCAATTGTATATCATACACTGTATACTGACACGTCAAGAGAAATGAGAAACTGGACGTTCGAATTATTATCCTTGGATCCGAATTAAACTCGAAGTTTAAGCGAATGTATTCGTGAATCTCAGGTTTTTTGCTTTTCATTTTATAGTCGTTCCTCTCTTCTGCTGCGTTCTACAGATACCTGCGATCTCTCCCCATTTTTAACCCTCCGGTATTATTAACGCCAAAGTACGATGATTGGATCAAATTACGTGACCCAAATTAGATTCAAATTTTATCTAATTTTCGTTATCCAATTATCCTCGATTCCTATATATGTATATGTATATATAGGTCAAAAATGACCCAACCATCGAACGACCACGAGGGTTAAAGGATTCTTGTACAGAGAACCTTGTACTCTGCGCGTGAACGTACATGTTATACTCGATGTGCATATTATATACACCGGAAGTTTAGCCTCAACGTCCACTTCTTGCTCGCGCGTTCAACCGCGCGTGCGATTTGTAAATACTTTGGTATGCGTGTGCCTACTTCGTCTGATAGTGTTTAATATTGTTATGTATATACATACACACACACACACATATATATATATTATAAATATATATATATATATACATTATATATACATATATCGTATACAAGGGTACCTTGAATGACTGAACGAATTAAGCAAAAACGAAAAATTTAAAAAAAAAAAAAAGAGAGAAAAAGAGGAAAAAAACTTAATCGCATGAAACTAATTGTCAATTACGAAAAGAAAAAAAAAAAAAAAAAAGGAGGAGAAAAATATGAGGAGTTTTACACGAGAAAAAAAATAAAAAAAGAGAAGAATTAATTGATGAAAATTAATTAATGGATGATTATATAGTATATACTCGTTACGCACGTTCAATGTGTAATTTACGGCCTGTGCATAATTCTAAATTAGATACAATCAAAGTAATCTTCGTAGGCCTATACATATATATATATATATATATAAAACGAATATATGATATGTAACCAAGCGGATTATGTATGTAAGGGGATACATTCGAATGCATAGATATATATATACGTAATATGTATGTTGTAAGCACGTAGCACGGGTAAAGTACTATTTTGCCTTCGTCAGAGTGTGATAAATTGTGTAATAATTGAAATATGATGCTGTGCTTGTGCAGTGTGTGTGATGATTACATACCTGTGACTCTTGATGGCGTTATATCCTCCGTTTAATTAAAATTGCATAAAGAAACGGGAGCTTTATTATTCAAACTAGTATTTTACTCGAACTTGTAACGTGTTGTTAAAACGATTTGAACGAACGAATATAATAATAATAGATAGATGATTTTCTTCGATGATAAACAATATATACCATGTGTCTACACGTGGACACGTATATCGATTTTGCGATAAGTATTATTCGTATTCCTTTGCTCGACACAGACAACTTATAATGATGTAAATAACGAGATATTTTATGTACTTTATATTTATTATGTATATATATATATATATATACATATATATATACATGGAGTTGCTTAATTAATATAAATAACACGATACGATTTTATTCGTTATTCCACTGTTTCGTGTGGAAAGAAAATCGACGAATATTTTTCATATTTTCGTTGGAAAATATGAGTATCGTTTGCGATGGATGAAAATAAATCGAAAATATGGGAATCGAAATTTTTTTTTTTCTCTCTCATTGTTTTCGAGAGGCTCTCTTGAATTTTTCTTTTTTATTATTTTTTTTCAATGCTCTTATTGTATTCTCGTAGAAATATATAATATAAATTCTTTGGTGGAAAATTTTGATCCCTTATTTTCGAGAAGAATGATGTAATTTAATATAATTTCATGTTAATCTATTGATCGTTAAACAAAATTTTTCCAAAGTATCATCCATCGCGGTATTAAATATAATTTAATTCAAAGCGTCGAGCGTCGAATTAGCTCGAAACAAGAGAAGAGAACTAAGTTCTGAGTTTTACTTATATTTACAAAAGATCCCGTAGCATCCGTTATTTTGTTATTCTACGATTATACCGCACGCCATCGTAAAAAAAAAAAAAAAAAAAGAAAAAAACACGAAAAATAAGGGATGCCTGAGCGTGAAAATCGAGAACGAAATTTGAATGGCGCGTGGTTTTAAATAAATAATAATTTATTTAGATACGCATCTAGATTAGGATGAGGGTAATTTTAAATTAAATCTAATCGAATACACACGTACATTTGGTATGTTTTTTCCACGAAGTTACTAAGTCTGATGGTAAGAAACGAATGTCATCACAGGATACGTAATAATAATAATAATAAAAAAAAATATCGATCTATAAATATGTTTGTGAATATTCTACGTATTGCATCCTCCCTTGAATTTTTTCTTCCATCTTTTCATCCAGAAAAAGATCGTTGTTTTTAAAGTTCCATTGTTCCATTTAGGGAAAAAGTTTTTTCGGATATCGAATGTACAGTGTTCTCCAATTTTTCTTTTTTTTTCAAATTAAATAAGATTTCTTTAACTCCTCCATCCAAAAGAATCGTCTATTCCATCCACAACGATCCTTCTCCAACTCTCTATTTTTTTGGCATATTTCGATTCAAATATTTACAATGTGAACATGGTGCATGAAGATTCCACGTACGTGACGAAAAAGTGAAAGTGGAACAAACTACAAAAAAAAAAAAAAAAAATAAAACATTCATCCAATCCTCCCTTCGAAAAAAACAGAAAAACATGCTCCAAAATCAAACATCCCTTAACAATTTTCCCCAAAGAATCTTCTTATGCCTGAATTTCCTTCATAAGCGAAAAGAATCTTCAAACGATTCCCGTTCTCCATTTAACTCTTCCTCGACAATTCCTGGAAGAACGCCTCGATAGGTAAAGTGGGCTCGTCAGTGGGGATCTTGAAGTGGGAGGCAGCTATTCTACTCTCAGGAGACACAGCCTTGAACATTCCAGGTTTGTCGTAAAGGGCGGAAGCGGAACTGGTCAGATCCGCGACGCTCTGTGACGCTTTCGCGAATAACTCCTCCTCCTCCGAAGGTATTTCGAATTTCGTCGTGTTCTCCGCCACCCCCTTCCCACCAATTTCGGTCGTTTCCTCGACCCTCGCCGTCGAATATTGCTCCGTGATCCCCCAACTTTCCCTCAATTGGCTCTCGTCCACGGATTTCTCGGTGACGACGACGACCGGTTCTTCCGCAACCACCTTTCCCCCATTCTCCACCCCATCCCGAGAATGGTAACCCGTCCCTATCGTGATCTCACTCTCGATTTCCGCTTCCTCCTTTCTCCCCGCTTCATCCGTGGTGCTCGTCGCTGCAACGCTCGTCGTCGAGTCGCTCGCTCCCCCCTCCTTCTCCCCAACCTCGTTCCCCGCTCCCATGGTGGTCACCGCCGAGTAGAAACTCGTCTCCTCCGCCGCCATTTCTGTTCCCTCGGCGTCCCTAGCTTCCGCATACGGGGCGGTCGAGCTCTGGTGGGGCGTCAATCTGCCCTTCATCACCGGTCGTCGCCGAACCGATGATGAGAACACGTTCTCGGGACGGGCCGTGCTGGGTCTCGATTGTAATACGCTCGTATCCGTGTCGTAATGATTCCGATTGGGTGCGGCGTTCGACACCCTACTCCTGTACACGTTGCCGTTCACAGGCCTCCTCTTCGGCACGAAACGATTCGACCTCTCCGTGGAGGTTGCGGAGGACGTCCCCTCCTCCGTCGCGTACTCCTGCTGATCCTTGGGAGGGGGATTGGGCGAGGACGTTCTGTAATTCACCCTTGAGACGTACTTGTACCTTCCCGTCGTCTCCCTTCCACCCTCCCCTCCGCTCTGTTGTTGCTGGCTGTGTTGATTCTTGAAGGAGGGAGAGCCGCCTCTCTGCTTGGACGGGGCGGGCGGCTCGGTGCTCGAAATCTGAGCTAATCTGTTCTTGTAATCCATCCGGCTCTTGTAGTCCTTGATGCTGAACCGCGGCCTGGTCGCGTTCCCGTACCTGATCGGCCTGATCTTGTGAGTCGATCTGGCGCTCGAGGTGCTCAACGGTGGCGGCTGCGTGCTGGGAGACGTGGTCGGAGGAGACGTGGTCGTGGCGATGTTTCCTTGGCTCGTGGATGACACTGTCCCTCGATCCAAGTAATTTCCCTCCGTTCTCACGAACAGATCCTCGAGGGGGATATTCGTGGCTACGGATTCCACGGATGGCTCGGGATTGTAGGTCACTAAGTTGACGGGATCCTCGTGCGGCTTCGCCCTGTTCGACTCGGTCTGATACTCGAATGGGACGCTCGGGGTGACGCTGTCCCCCCCTCGTTGCCTCTCCTCCACTGTCGCTACCCTCTGCGACTCCGTGTAATCGAATTGTTGATTAGGCTGGCCATTCGTCGCCAATTGATCGTACTCGTTCGCAATCGTGTACGATTGGACGGATTCAGTCGGGCTCTTGTACGTACTCAGAGGCGGGTGAACGATCTCCGTCACTATCTCGGCCTCGAACGGCTCTCCGGGATTCACCCTGTTCCTGTGGCCGGGTCGTTTCCTGATGTTGGTCTTCTTCTCGGTCACGCCCACCTCCTCGAGGCTGGGCTGCATGGCAACCGGTTTGATCCGCCTCTTCTTCGCGACATCGACCTGGCGCGGTGTCTCTTCCTCCTGCTTCTCGTATTTCAGGAAGTCTTCCGGCGTGGACGGCTCCGTGGCCGCGGGCTCAGGTGGGGCGGTGGTCGTCGGTCTTCTTCGTCGCAACGGGGCGCCTGGCCTTCGAGTTCTCGGCCTCGGCTGCGCGGCCAGAGTCACGGTTTCCGGTGCCGCGGTCGTCCGCGATCCCACTTCCTCCCCGCGAAGCGTGACGGGGACCGAGGAGGTCTCTGGAACTTGGAGCGGGGTTTCCGTTGGCGGTGTTGGCTCGTACACCGCGGTGCTCGGCTTCCGCCGTCTATATTGATCGCGCGACGGCTTGTGCGGCCTTTGGGGCCGTAAATCAGCAGCCTGCTGTTCCCGGTAATTCGCCTGGTCCGCCTGATTCTTCTTCGAGATATCTTGGGGGTGGTCCGTAGGACGGTCTTGGAAAACGTGCGGCTCGGGTTGGGTCACCTGTAATGCAATTTTAAAAGTTCGATGAAAAATTTGGACGACGCGATCCGGATACTTCGAAGCATATCTCGAAGAAAGCTCGTTGTAATAAAGTAATATAAATTCTCGTTTTAAAGTTTAGATAGAACGATTTTCGTCTGGAAAATGTTTGATCGAGAATTTACACAAATAATACAATTAAACAATTCTACATTGATCTATTAAAATCTTAACTTCTATAAATTTTTCGGTACACGGAAAAAACTGGACTTCATTACGAAACGAAATCAATTCCAAACTTCTCTTCTCTTTCAAGGACATCAAGGTATCTCCCTACTATTTTATATTTCTATATCCGGAAGTGTCTTCGTCGATATCACCCCATACAATTCATAAAACCAAAAAATAAAACGAAAATTAATTATCGGTATCCGGAAGTTGCAATTTGGCCAAATATTTCGCAAAGTCTATTTCGCCTATCCCACAAAACAGAAAAAAAAGAAAAAACTACCTGAGACTGTTGAACCTTTGGCTGCTCGCCAACGCTGCTCTCCTCGGTAATCGCCGCTGCCGCCGCCTCGTCTGTGCTAACGTTCGTGATTTCATATCCGGCCAATTGGATCGTACGAGGTGGTTGCCCCTCCTCCTCCTCCGTGACTTTGGCCAATTTCTCCGTCTGGTTCCTCGCGGATTCCACAGCGAGTCTGGCCTCCTCTTCCTCCTGCTTCTGCCTCTCCAAAAGTTGCCTCAACTCCTGCTGCCTCCTCTTCAACTCCTCCTGCTGCTGCTTCTCGATCTCCAATTGCTGTTGCCTCTCCTGCTCGGCCAATCTCTGCCTGTCCCTGTGCAGCAACTGTTGCTGGATCAGATATTGTTGCTCGTTGAAGTGTTTTAACGATATACTTTCTGGTGTCTCATATTCTGGCTCACCGTTTAGGGGCCGAATGTCTATAGGTAGCACAGGGGTTTGGAACTGGGGCTGTTGAGTTTGGGGCCCTATGAACACCACTTTCGGCGCTTGGGGGATCTGGTTCGACGCTATATTTATCTCCTGGAACTTGGACGGTGGATTGACACGGGGCAGAACTTCGTTTATGTCTGACGGATACTTGCTCTTTGGAATTGGCCAGGCGGAAGGCGGGGGGGTGAGATCCTGCGATTCTGACACGTAGTACGTGTTACCGAATCCAGCCGTGGGCACAACTTCCTGCGCGACGCCTGTTTCCACGTTCTGCTTGCCGCCAGTGGCAGACACTTGGACCGGCCTCTTCAAATCCGCGTCCCCCGTTACTTGCTGGCGATACTTGTTCGATTCCTGTACGATACGGGGGGTGGTGGGCGCCGTCGTGGACGAGGAATACACGTCAGGGGGTAATAGAGTCTCGTAAGGGAGCGAAGGTCTGAAGTTGAACGGGTTGTACACGGAAGGTGGGGTGATGTAACTGATCTCGTGGCTCTCGTGCACGAGAAACGCGGGATCCCTCTCGAAGGATGTCTTGTAACCGTGGCCGGCATGATTCACCTGGCCGAAGAAATTACCGGCTGGACTGATGCTACCGTGTTCGTTGTGCCCTTGGAACTTGTCAAAGTTCTGCCTGTGATCGGTCAGTCTCTTGTCCTTTCCGAAATCATTGGCAGGCCCCGTGCCAGGTGGTTGGAAATATGGTTTCGGATTGGCGGACACTTTCAACGACTCGAAAGGTTTCACGTGGTATCTAGGCGGTTGGAGCAATTGCGGGACGTAAGGCGCGTCGTATGCGTGTCTGTTCTTCGTGGTACTCGGCGAGGAGGGGGAGTTAGTAGTGGAAGTGTATCCCTTGATAAAATACGTGGCCGCCTTTATCGGATCCGGGGCTTGATGGAACTGTGGCTGTCGCAAGAATGCCGAGCTGTCTCGTAAAATCGGCTTTCTGTGCTGATCCAGATCGAAACGGTACGCGTCTTTTGGCGGTGGAATAAGGAACGTGTAATCTCTCGTCTCGGATGCCACGTGTTTATTATTCGCGTTCTTGTGGGTGGACTGCGCCTCGCCACGAGCCTTGGCTGCCACGTGGCTGAGAACCGTGAAGCTGCCCAATATACTGGGCGGGTTGTAGTCGTGATGAGAGGCTGGTTTACCCTTTCGTTGCGGCTTCAACTTTTCCGAGGCGGCCATGTGCTCTTGAAGTTTGCCCAGCACCGGGTGCAGGGGGCCACTCCGCTCGAGGCTGCTAGATGGCGACACGTTCGTGCCTATGGTGTCCTCGTAGGCATTGGTCAGAGGGCGCCACCCGTTTGCGATCATTGACGGCCGCGTTGGTGGCTGCAAATGCGATGTCGTTAGAGTTGGGCTTGTGAGCTTGTCGAGAGTTTAGAGAGCGATTAGATTCGGAAAAAAAAAGTATTCGTTCATTATACATTGCAAATTTTGATTTTTATTCGAAAGTTATGTTTTGTATATGGAACGCGATAGAGTAGTTTTTTTTGTCGAAATTTTTATGAAATTCTCTCTCCAAAGAGAGAGAGAAAAACTTTCAGGATTTTTTTCAATTTTGAAAATGTTTTTCACAGAGACTCAAAGATTAAACATTTTGTAATTTAAAATTTTTCTCTATCAATCTCATTCATGGGATTGATCTCTTTTAATTAATGTTTGGAAAAATAAAGAGAGATTTTTGAACTACATAACTATTGATCGGCTTCTGGATTTTCCATAGTGGTGAATGAAACATAATGAGATCGTGGATATCGTATGTGGTGAATAGAATATAATGGAGTTTAGGGATATTGCCTGGCTCAAAGCTGTGAAGAAGTAATCTGTATTATATGTGGTTTCTTTAGCTACTCTATTCTTGAATATTTTTTGTTTGGCCAGAGGAATTTTTCTTATCACAATACATTTTTGGATATTAGTTATTGTAATAAATCGTGTATCAAGATGAGAATATATATAAGGAGGATTTCTTTTCAATCCGTTCATAAAGTGGATAAAATGCTGGTATATGTATGTATATTCTGATATAACAATATCCATAAATTCTAACATAGTTTATAATTTATGATTTATTTTTAAGAGTTTGATTTTTAAAATTTTGATCACTTATAAATATCATTTAATTTTTATCAAATTAAACGACTAATCAATTTTACGATTTCATTATATTTTATTCATCTATATATTTAATTTAATTTAAAAATAATTTTTGATTATTTGTAAAAAGTTGCAACTGATATAATTTTGATACTGGAAAAATAAAAATTTTAAAGTGAAATTTATCGCGTAAAAATTGAAATTTTTTTTCACCAGAAAACTTGAATGTAGCGACTTGATCCAAAATGCTGCGCAGAGAGTCGAGTATCGATTGAAGAAATTGGATAAATATTAGCTAAAAATTTACGTCATCCCAACAACCCGCAGAAAGACGTTTAAAGTACATGAATCGGCCGTTATGGATCGTGTACATTAGCTTAAAATAGTTTCAAAGGTTTTACGAGTTTCAATAAGTGACATTGTTTGTCTTTCTAAATTCCTTCTAAATATAAGAGCTGCATTCGAAAGATTGATGCTTCCATTAACATTTTTTTTTTCTTCTTCTTCCCAATTGTAAAGCATTTTACGAAAAAATTATTAATTACTATAAATAACTTTTTATAATAAACGATAATATTATATTATTTCCAAAAATGAAATTATCAATAGAAAAATTATTATCTTTTTTTCTAATTTTGTTAAATATTATTTAACCAAAGTAAATTATTTTATAGAATAAAAATGTACGATACAATACCAGATATAATAACTCTTAACTTAATTATAAAATTATACCACGAACTTATTAAAATAATTTAACTGTGATTAATTTCCTCGACAGTGCGTCCAATTAATTCGGCTTTATGTAAAAGAAAAAAAGAAAATGAAATAAAAAGAAATGAAATAATTTTCCACCAACTCGACACAAACAAAAGAAGTTTCATAGCAAACATGTCAAAATGTTCACTTCCTCTTCACACTTTCCCCGTTTTAACATAATTTAACCACACCTGTGTTTGGCAAACAAATCGAGGCAAACCATCGCAACTTTTACCATTTCTGGCAAGAACAATTAATTGCCTTTGTTACGTTATCGTTATTCATTCTACTTACCGGCTTGTTATCAGAACGGTCTATCGACACGGTGATTGCACCGATGCAGGTGAAGAGGCCCATCGCGAGGACACCTGTGGTATTTTGCGTAACAAGCGTGAAAAGAGAATATTAATCACTCCTTGGGAAAAAAAAATTTAATGAAACATTACAATTTTGTAAGAATTTTTAAAAAATGAACTTTATTTATTTATCTTTTTTTTCAAATATTAAGAGATTCAGTGAAAAAGTACTCAATATCTGCATTAATAAATTAATTTCTGAAATCTGGTGTATTAATTTTAAATTTCGTACTCGTAAAATTTTTTCTCTTTCATAAAATTATAATGCTTCAACACATTACCTCTTCGTCACTGTAATATTTCAATCTTTTTAATCTTACAATTTCAATTTGGAATATTAATAAAATAAAAAAGAAATTGTTTTAATTATGGATATTTATGGATAATTTAAATTTCAAAGTGAAACACGTCCATTAATGCGTCTACCAATAATTTATTAATACAATGATCGATGCAATCTTAATTCCATTCCAAAATTTTCTTTATTCTACTTTCTTTTTTATTCGAATAGAAAAAAAAAAAAACAAGTTTTTCAATCAAATAATAATAATAAAGAAAAAGAAAAAGGTGAGTAGTAATCAATAGACTTACAATCGAACATTAATGTGGACCGCATCGTGACAGACCATGGGATTATTTACGCGATCGTTCTGCAACAAAAACATTGGTCGATCGTTAGGCAAACTCAGCGAGGCGAAATTGGCCGATTACGAAAGTGTAAGGAGGGAGGGCAAAGGGGATCAGATCCCCGATCGTCGAGTAATAGGAGGACATGAAAAGTGTAGCTCGATAAAAGAGGAGAAAGGAAGTATAGAAAGCGTCCGGTTTTATGCGCAGTTTCCGCCCGCTATTTTGTCATTTCTCGTTGAAATCAAGGCAACAGTGAAACTCTGCTAGAGAAGACGGAAGAATTTCTCTGACTCGACTTTTACGACTCCACGCCTGCTCTGTCCCTCATTTTCTGAAATTTCCCACTAGTCTGGCCACGAGCTTCCGTTTTCCTAGCGTGTGAACTGGAAGTGGATGGTTTTCGAATGATTCTCCACGATGAAGACTTTTGTCAAGTGATTGTTGTTGAAAATTTTTTTCTAGATATTTTTCTATTATTTTCTAGATATTCAAATTTATTAGAAATGAATTTTATTTATAATTTTTGATAATTTCTATTTGTAAATTTGAAAAAGATGCAAAGTTTGATGCAGTAGATTTTTCATTTTATATTGAGTTTTTGAAATTTTATATTGGGTTTTTGAAATATTTTAAAATTTAAGCGACATCGTGCAAGGACTCTTGTCGAAATTATTTAGAAATTTTCTAGAAATTAATCATTTATTTTCTTGGATATTTTTATATTTTCTAATAACAAGATAACAATTAAGCAAATTATTGGAATTTTGTAAAAATGAATTGATAAAAGAAAATACTTTTCTTGTTGTGAAAATATTTTCTTCTTCTTTTTTTTTTTATTCTCATTATTCTCATTTTGGAAATGCATAATAACAAATAATGAAATTTATAATAAAATTTCTATCATAAAGTTACGAATAGTTAGATTGTAGAACATTAAAAGTGAGATCTTCGGATGTAATTGACATAATTGACAGTCAACAAATATAATTTTTTGATGGCAACGCGAATTGATTCATCGATTTGTTAGTAAGATTGTTTAAGAAACATTAATTAAATTTTCACCACGACTATGACTGCGCGTATAATTTCACTCAGGCGTTCAAGGGCGTGAAAATACGAGGAATAAATTAATCGTTTGAAAAAGTTCGACTTTCTCTTATTAATTTTCTAGGCTTGAACTCTGACGTAAATAATGGTACACTTTTCACACAAGGGGCGAGTGAAAAATAAAGAACTGGCTTCGAGTCAACGTAATATAGAGAGTGTTATTTTATACGTTTCTGTATTCTGATCGAAACTTATTTATGATTTTGTAAATATGACAATTGATGAAACGTATATATTATATAATCGAGATTATAATATTACGTCACATGTATTTTTAAAAAGATGGTGATAGTAATAAGTTGATTATATGTTAGATAGATAATAAAGTTCTGTATCTAAATTTTATTTAAACTTTTACAATTATTCGAAAATTAATTATAATTTGCAATGAATAGAATTGTAAAATGTAAAATGATAATAAAAGGAAGAGAATTTTATTAGGATTAATAAATGTGAAAAATTAATATATCAATGTTTTCAAGAACAACAAACGAATTTTTAAAATTTTAAAGTAGTAATATAAATTGCTGTATAATTTCATTCTATTCATTTTTTTCAAAAAGAAAATACGGAGGAGAATTTTTTTGTCAACGTAATGGAGCACATTAGCTAAATTGATTTTACTATAATTACAAAATTTATTAAATTTCACATTTCCAGTTGATGATAAGTGAGATAATTTGAAGTAGTATTAAAACTATTACATAGTTTTATCTTGTAATGGGAAAGTTATAACAAAAATTTCTATTTGTTTAATGCATCGAAAGTAGTAATTATCTTTCATCCTTTTTATGAAACATTTGCAATATTTATCAATTCTTTGTACTACTTTCTTCAGAAATTATTCTACACTTCTTTGAGATGTATCTAATAATTCTATTAACTTCTTTCCAAGAAATTAATTATTCTGAATTAGATCATAATATTATCAATATTTTTTATTTATATATATATGTTATATCATGATTAATCTATCATGATAATAAAAAGCTCTTTAATTTTTGTAGATATCGCGACAAACGAGTTAATAAGATACTAATTGAAGCTTCGTTCTAATAAATAAAATCTAGAAATAATAAAAACAATTTCTTCACTCTTTAATTCAATACAAATTTTTATATAAATTCCCTAGAAAATCAGCATTATCTCGTATCAAGTATCTGCTTAATCTCTACATTGAGAATAACAGCAGAATAACCAATTAAATATCTATTAAATATTATTAAAAAGAATTTCTCCAAATTATTCTATAAATTAAGAAAAAAAAGAAAAAGAAAAAAAATCAGTATTGCCTATATTCCACATCAAGTATCAAATATCTATCATTAAAATATCGAAAAGAATTTCTTCATTCGGTTTAATTCCAACAAATTTTGGAGAAATAAAAAAAAATCCCTACACATCGAGAAAAACAGTATTGCTTATATATCCACATCAGATGATATTTAATCTATTTTATTTCAAAGTTACGTTTATGCTCGAGTTCTCGACAAACACCAATTACTCTTCCATTGCGCAATTACGTTTCCTCTTCTATCCCTTGTGTTTTCTTTTTTTTTCTTTCGTCGAAAATAACATCGAACAACCGAATCGAATTGTTCGAAGCCCGTCCACGTACTAAGCGTATCAGCGCATGCGCGAATTCCCTGTGGGCGAGCAGGTGCTGCCACCTGCGCGCAGAAAATTACCAGCCAAAATCAATAGAGCAGGTGCATTTAAATTTCACGCAGATTCCCCGGTTGAATTAATTACCGGCATTAGCCTGTCCCACAGGGCTCGATGCAAGCTCTACGGCCAACTTTCCTTCAAACCATTTCCGGTTCGTAAATGCGCGCGCTATTCGAATTTACCCCGCGTGCTAGACAATCCAATCGTAACACGTTCCTGAACGTGGTCCATTGGATCGAAAGAGGAATATCAGAGGGAGAAAAACGATTGCGCGTGGTTACACGTTCCGTGAATATCTAATTTAGAGCAAAGCTTTCTCTATCCGGATGTTTCGCGTAATTGGGTTTGCGTGTACTTTTTATTTTTGCATCGTTTCTTTTTTCTTTTTTTTTTTTTTTTCTAATTGGGAAAGAATTTTTTTCAGGAGAATGGGAATAAGAATAAAAGCTGACCGTTTTCGAATATTTATAGATTGGAGATTATTTTTTTTTTTTTTTTAGTGGAGTTATTTAGACAATTTTCACTTTCAACAATTTTCTGCGAAAGATTTTTATTATTTTGAGAATTTTTGATTTAATAATAAAAATGATTAAATGAAAATATTTTATTTTACATTTTTGATATATTTGATGTAGAATCTCTTGAATGATAGAACCTCCTTGCAATGCTCTGTTTAATAAGAAGATTTAAATGATTCAATCAGAAATATATAAAATATGAAATTCGAATTTATTTTTTATTTGAAATATTGTAATAAATTTTGTTGGATTTTGTATAAACAAAATTTTTATATAAAATTATGTTCCTTTTTTCTATTTTTTTTTTTTTTTTATTCAGAAAAGAGATTCAAGAGATAATAAGAAGAATTTAAATAGATCAACATAGTTTTATGTATCTGGATGAATGAGATTCGAATTTACATTTTACAGAAATTTTTAATGGAATTTGCTGGAATATACTAGGTAAAATTTTTATACGAATCGGAAGAACGCGTTTTATTAAAATTGAAAATAATTTGGGCAGAACGGAATAATGAAGGAATTTAAATAAATAATAAAAAGGTTTGATACTCGTACAATTCGAATTTATTTTTTACCAGAGTTTTTATCAAATTTTGTTGAAATTTATTTTACATGAAATTGGGCTTGGAAATTTTAGAAATTGCATTCGAATGGAAATTTTGTTCAATATAGGTGTGAATACAAAATTTTAGTAATTATAATAGTAAATCGAATTAGAATAAAAAGTTATGATATCAAAACTAATGATATAAGGATAAATATTACATCTGTAATATGATTATAATAATATTATATGACAAGAATTATTTGATTTTATAAAAGAACAATTCATTTGATTTTTTCGATTTTTCAATTATTTATAATTCTGATTATAATACATTATTGCAAATTTCACGATAGAATTTATTAATAATTCTTAAATTAATAATTCTTAATTATACAATCCTCAGGAGTGCACAATTTGCAAATAATTTTGCACTATATCTTAGCATTCATCTATTTATGTCTATCATATTAATATGATAAACTATGACCCTGAGGATCGAGTTTTTGGCTCTTGAATGTAAAAAAAAAAGATTTTTTTTGATTCTATGAGAAAGAAAATAAATGCGTGCATTAAATTATTCGAATAAAAAATGATTTATAAAAAAATTGAAACGTTACAAATTACTCAGCACACAAACTTGTTAAGTTAATGAATATTTGAATTGATTATAAAATCAATTTCTGATCTTCAATTGACGTATTCTCGTAATTGTATGAACATGTCAATTTCTATTAGCTTTATCATCGTGTCTACGCAAATTGAATTGAACTACTTTTGATAATCAATAATTAGTAATCAAACATGCAAATGAATTAATAATGTAATTAATTATAGCTATCTGTAATAATTAATAACCAACCGACTACTATTCTCCATTTAATGAAAATCCATTCATGGATATATATCCACTTCAAATACACTATATTATTTAAATACTAATAATTTTTTTATTTCTAAATTTCTAATTATAATCTTCAATCTTGAAATAAATTTATATCAAATAAAATTCATATAAATGAAATTTTTATCCTTTCAATTAATATCTATAGGAAAATAAATTTCCAAAATAAACGCAATTTCTCAAAATGGCTCGTTACTTTGAAACATCTAGTAACTAAAAAAATTACTAGATTTCTACATCTCAGAAACACACTTGTT